ATAATGTCTGTGATCCATCGGTAATTCTAGAGTTAAAAACCCATAATGTCTGTGATCCATCGGTAATTCTAGAGTTAAAAACCCAAAATGTCTGTGATCCATCGGTAATTCTAGAGTTAAAAACCCAAAATGTCTGTGACCCATCGGTAATTCTAATGTCTGTGACCCATCGGTAATTCTAGAGTTAAGAGTTTGTTCGAGTTTTCGACCTGAGCGACATCTTTTGCGACATGGATTAAACACAAAGTCAGACTTAGGTACATGGATTAAATACAAAGTCAGACTTAGGTACATGGATTAAACAGAAGGTCAGATTTAGGTACATTGATTAAACATAAAGTCAGACTTAGGTATATGGATTAAACAGAAGGTCAGATTTAGGTACATGGATTAAACAGAAGGTCAGATTTAGGTACATTGATTAAATACAAGGTCAGATTTAGGTACATTGATTAAACATAAAGTCAGACTTAGGTACATGGATTTAACAGAAGGTCAGATTCAGGTACATGGATTAAACAGAAGGTCAGATTTACGTACATTGATTAAATCCTTGAGGGAGGAGAACCACCTAATGTATAAAAAGCTACTCTTAATCGAATAGTGGAACTGACTGTTACTTTTATAACTCAGACCACAGCTGGAATGCGAAACGCGTTCAGCAGCATATCGACGGTTTGAGCCTTGGACCTTGTGATACGAATCCCGGCATGCTGACCAATAGAGCACGCCAGACCTATTTATATAAAGAAGGTTAGTCTTGGTATAATTATACCTTATACAGGCGAAAACAACAACGACGACCACTGAACGTGTTTGTTTCGTAACCTCCGAAATATTTCTAAATAAAATAAAATAATCAATATGAAATTACAACCTCGTTTCATGTTTTAATAGACAAGTATTATTCACACTATGAACCAAAATCAAAAGTTATATTTAGTTAAATTTTACGTTGTTAAGGGAGAATTTTAAATGAAACAGCAAGCTCGAGATATTTCCCCAAATCGTTATGTACCAAGGACCAATCAACTGATTTTATAGG